GGGGGGTAGGAGTGTGGTGGGGGGGAGGTGGGGGTAGGAAGGTGGAGCTTTGGCTGGAGAGGGTGAGGGAGGATGGAGAGTTTGCAGATCCCTTCCTGGGTTGCTGACTGTGTACTTGGAAGCGCTTGAGTTAGTGGGGAACAAGACACCGCCCAGTGTTACCCAGTGATTCCTTATTCGTGTGAGGAAAGCAAGGACTACGAGGTGCAGCACGAGCCCTCAGTGGCCCATGTGGTGGCGGGGAAGTCAGTCCCACCTTGGACACTGGGCCTGAAAACACCTGCCAGTGTCAAGATGCAGACGCAACATGTCCGTGGCTGCCCAGCCTCGTGGCTCACTCCTGGAATCCTAGCTTCTCAGAAAGCTGAGAGTGGGGAGGATCATGGTTTCAGGCCAGCCTGAGAAAAACGTGTATGAGTTCATCTAAACCAGTTTAAAAGGTGGATGCCAAGCCGGGCGCTGGTGGCTCACGCCTGTGATCCTAGCCGCTCAGGAGGCTGGTGGCTCACACCTGTAGTCCTAACTCAGGAGGCTGAGAGCTAAGGATGGCTGTGCAAAGCCAGCCTGAGCAGGAAAATCCATGAGACTTTTTTTTTTTTTGTCAATCCTGGGGCTTGAACTCTGGGCCTGGGCGTTGTCCCTACGCTCTTCAGCTCAAGGCGAGCGCTCTACCGTTTGAGCCACAGTGCCTCTTCAGGTTTTCTAGTGGTTTTATTGGAGATAAGTCTCACAGACTTTCCTGCCCGGGCTGGCTTTGAACCGTGATCCTCAGATCCCAGCCTCCTGAGTAGCTGGGATTACAGGCGTGAGCCACCAGCACCCTGCTTTGCACAGGGTTTTGTTTCTTTGGTTGTGAACTCAGGCCTTATATGCACTATCCCTGAGCTTTTTTGCTCAAGGTAGGTGCTCTACCACTTGAGCCACAGTACCATTTCTGGCTTTTGGTGGATATTTAGAGATGAGTTCTATGGACTTTCCTGCCTGGACTGGCTTTGACCTCCGGTCCTCAGATCTCAGTCTCCTGAGTAGCGAGGATGACAGGCGTGAGCCACGGGCCCTTGGCTGTTGAACAGTGTTGTAGGCACAGGAGGGCATGGTGGGAGCAGATGCTGGAGAGGGAGAGTAGCCAAGACGCTGCTGTGTGCCCATAGAGCAGTGGGGGCCGCGGGAGACGGGCCAGTGGCGGGGGTCTGAGTGGTGTCAGATGGGGGGAAGGGCGGGCTGCAGAGTGGGCAGGGTGTGAAGGTGGGAGCCCACAGGATGACTCCTTCTGGAAATGGGAAGCCACCGAGCTACCAGAAGTTCATTGGGGCCGGGCCATGGGAGTTTGGAGAATGGAAAACGTGGCACCTCATCCAGGAGATGTGGGGAGAGTAGACCCCGGATGGTCTTGGCAATCTAGTCTCAAAGCAGCCCTTCCCCCGTCTGCACATGACTCCTCTGTTAACTCCATGCTGATTCCTGGTGGGGTCTGCTATTCCAGGCCTAGGCAAAGACCTGCCTGCCAGATCAGAGGATTTTTTTTATTTTTTATTTATTTCATTTTATTTTATTTGTGAAGATACTGTACAGAGGGGTTACAATTACATGGGCAGGATAATGCGTACATTTCTTACCAAGCATTGCAGCCTCCTCCTTTTGTTTACCCTTCACATCCCTTCCCAGCCTCCCCCTTCCCCCCTATTTTTTTTTTGTCGGTCGTGGGGCTTGAACTCTGGGCCTGGGCGCTGTCCTTCAGCTCAAGGCGAGCGCTCTACCACTTGAGCTACAGCGCCACTTCCGGTTTTCTGGTGGTTTATTGGAGATAGGAGTCTCACGGTCTCTCCTGCCCGGGCTGGCTTTGAACCTCGATCCTCAGATCTCAGCCTCCTGAGTAGCTAGGATTACAGGCGTGAGCCACCAGCGCCCGGCCCCCCCAAAAAATTTTTTAAAAAAAAATCCAGGTGTACTACACAAAAGGAAGGAAATGTACTTATTATCTGATGAATGTAAAGGTAAACCTGCAGTATATCACCTCTAAAACAGCAATAAAGTAATAAAAAAAATATATCCAGGTGGGGCTCCAATGGTTCACGCCTGTAATCCGAGCTACTCGGGGAGGCTGGGATGTGAGGATTGTGATTCCTGCCAGCGGAGGCAGGAGAGTCATGAGTGCCAACCTTGAGCAAAAAAATAAAAAAAGCTCAGGGGCTTTGCCAGGGCTCTGAGTTCAAGCTCTAGTATTGGCAAAATAAAAATACTAAAAATCCAGGGTCAAGGTGTAGCTCAGTACTAGTGTGTGCTTAGCATGTTTCAGGTTCCAAACCAGCCCTTCTCCCTCAAAAAAGATACCCAGGGAGTTGTGGGGAGGCCAGAGGGAGGCTGTGGGGGAAGGGCCAGAGGCTCACCAGCGCGACCCCTCGCAAGGCCAGGGACCCTGGCTGTCCTGTCTGAGGGCTCCTGCCGGCTCTAGCATGGAGAAGCAGCAGAAGAGGAGAGGGAGAGGAACTGAGGAGAGGAGGGCAGGAAGGCTCACCAGGGGTCCTGCCTTCAAAAATTTGGTTCCACTCAGCTTTCCCCAGGAGACCCCCACGCCGCTGGAGCTGGGACCCTCTCTAACCTACAGGAGAAGGCCCAAAGAGGGGAGTGGACTTGCCCAGGGCCACTGCAGTCCAGTCCTGCTCTGGCAGAAAATAAGGCAACTCCAGGCCAGCCCTTAAGGGTCCAGTAGGGGTAAGGGGCTGGCAGGAGGAGCGCGGAGGAGGGGAGGGAGGGGGGAGCACTCAGAGCTGGGGAGGGGGCGGTGTCAGGGCTCCCCTCCCACTTCGCGGCCGGCGCCGCCCCCACCCTCCTCCCGCCCCTACTCACTGCCTGTGGACGAGGAGGAGCGGCGCTGCCCGCCGCCGGGGC